AAAAAAAAAAAAAAAAAAAAAAAAAGACTAAATAAAACAAAACAAAGGATTTCAAATATTTTCACTATAAAGAAATGACAAATGTTTGAGGGTGGACTTAACTTGAGTTGATACTATACAGTGTAACTGGGGGTACACTCCATGATGCTCAGAAGACTGAGGCAACAGGATCATAAATTTGAGGCCAGCCTGGGAAATTTTGCGAGAACCTGTTTTTTTTTTTTTTTTTTTTTTTTTTTTTAAGAAAAACAAAACAATAGCAACAAGGCTGGGAATGTAGCTCAGTGGTAAGGCCCTGGATTAAATCTTTAGGATGACAAAGAAAAAAAATTACACAGTGTATACACATCAAATATTGCATGGTATCCATTAATAGGTAGATTTGTTTGTTTTTTTGCGCTACTGGAATACAATTTTATTTTATTTTTGCGGTACCAGGGATGGAACTCAGGACCTTGCACTTGCCAGGCAAGCACTTACTCTACTGAGCTATCTCCTTGGTCCTGGAATACAACTTTCAATTTCACATATTTTTATTTTTTGAAACAGGGTCTCACTATGTAGTTCAGGCTGTCCTGAACTCACTATGTAACCCAAGCTGGCCTTGAACTCATAGTGGCCTCGAACTCTTGCCTTAGCCTCCTGAGTGCTGGGATTATAGGTATCTTGCACCGTAGCTAGCCTTTATCTATTTTATTTGCTCTTTCTTTCTTCTTTCTTTCACTGCTAGGGATTGAACCTAGAGTCTCTGATCTCTGAGGTACATCTCCAGTCCTTTTTCTATTTTGCTTGTTTAGGTTTTTAGACCAGTTCTTGCTATACACTTCAAACTGGCCTTAAACTCACTGTGTAGCTCAGGTAGGCTTCAGATTTGTAGCTATCTCTTGCTTCAGCTTCTTGAGTGCTGGGATTATAAATGTGAGCCATCTTGCCTGACACACCATTTTTTTTTGTTGTTGTTGTTTTGTTTTTTTGTTTTGAGATAGGGTCTCACTAAATTGTCCAGGCTGGGCTGGAACTTTCCATGCTTCTGCCTCAGCCTCCCGCAGTGCTGGGATTGCAAGTGTGTACCACCATAGCTGGCTGTATTAAAAATTTTTAAAAAGTAACAGAAATTTAAAATTTCTAAGCTGAGATAGAAGAATTACAGTGAGTTCAAGGTCAGCCTAAATTACATAGTGATATCCTGTTAAAAAAATAAAAATAAAAAAGAAAAGCCAAGTGTGGTGGTGCACACCTATAGTCCCAGCACTCGGGAGCTGAGGCAGGAGGATCCTGGTGAGTTTGAGCTCAACCTGGACTACAAAGTGAGCTCAAGTTCAGCCTGAACTGTATAGCAAGACTCTGTCTCAAAAAGACAAAGAAAAGAAAAGAAAGATCTTTTCTAAAAAGAAAAGAGGGGGCCGGGGAGATGGCTCAGTGGAATAAGTGCTTTCCGGGAAAGTGCAAGGGCCTGAGTTCAATCCCCGGTTCCGCCAAAAAAAGAAAAGAGAAAGAAATCCAGGAATATATGTAGCTTAGTATAAAGACTGTGGGTTCAGTATCTAGTATTTAAAAAAAAGGAAGAAAATACATATTGAAATTTGATTTATAGGGGCTGGTGAGATGGCTCAGTGGTCTAAAGCACCTATTTAAATGAAACAAGCTTGGCAAAGCACAGGGACTGCGGTTCGATCCCCCAGCACCACATGCCAGCCAGCCCCGCCCCCTGGTGGGCTGAGCTGGCCACACACACACACTAAAATAAATGTAATAAATAAAAATAAATAAATATTAAAAAAAAAAGAAAAAAAGAAATTTGATTTATATGTATTTGTCATTTTGCAACTATGTGGATAGAATTTGAAAACAGTGTGTTAAGTAAAATAACTGACACTGAAAGAAAAATACTACATGTTTTCATAGGTGGTATCTAAAATAAATGCATAGAAGCAGAGAATAGAGGGGTGATTTTGGTGAATATAGAGGGTGGAAGGGAGGAAAAATAGGAAGACATTTGAATGGTACAAAATCTCAAGAGGAAGGGAGTTGTTTTTAATTTTTAAATTTTATTTATTTATTTTAAAAAGATGTATGTATGTATGTATTTGGAACAGGGTCTTTCTGCCAAGCTCGGACTCTGGAGTGACTCTCCTGTATCAGCCTCCTCAGCTCTAGGATTCCATGCATGCACCACCATGCCCAGTTTTGGGCAGGCATGGAGAGCTGGGAGGTTCCAGGCCTGGCATAGCACGTGGTACCCGGGATCAAACCTGGGTCCTTGCACTTGCCAGGCAGGCGCTTAGACTGCTGAGCTATCTCCCCGGCCCCGAGAATGTTTGTTTTAGATCTGTCACACAACATGGTGAATATAGTTCATATGGTATATTGTGCATCTCAGAATTATTAAGAGTAAATATCAGATATCCTTATCACAAAAACCCTCCACAGCAATGTATTTGAAGCCTGGTGTGTCAGAACTTGGAGGCTGAGAGAATTGGGAGGACAGACTGGGCTACACTGCAAATTCAAGGGCAGTCTGGACTGCAAAGTAAGTCTGTCACAAAAAGAAAATATTTGAATTACGTTGCTCAGGCTGAGCTCAAATTTGCAATCTTGCCTCAGCTTCCTGTATAACTAGGGTTACAACATCACTTTGTATTACAGAAATATATGCAAATATAAATTGCTAATTGACAAGAAAATAAAAACAAATAGCCACAGTAAGGTATTGTTTCACACTATCCCAGCACTCAGGAGTCTGAGATAAGAGGATTGCCATGAGTTTGAGGGCAGCCTGGGCTACTTAGTAAGTATAGGC